ATATATATATATATATATATATATAGGGCGTGCTAAATATCACACTCAAATTTCCTAAATACCACACATAAATTAAAAAAAATTATCTCTCTACTTATATTCTCTCTAAATTTCTCTCCCAAAATGATTTTATCCAACTCACTCTAAATTCATTAATTTTTTACGTGAATAATCATAAAAAATGAGTTCAGTTCTATTTAATATTTATTCAATTTCATTAAGCCTTTTTTATTATTCAAATTCATATTAATTCGATTTTTTTCCACAAATTCCAACTTTATTTTAGTTTGAATATGTAAAGATTTTTGTCAAATTCGAACTTGGAATGCTATGGGCGCTTTTAGTGTGTGATTTTGTGAAAAATTTAGGTATAAAGAAGAAGGTGGAGAGGAAGAAGATAATATTTTAGAGAGAAAAATATTATTAATTATGTGCATGATTTCGTAAAATCAATGTGGGATTTAGCATTTCATATATATATATATATATATATATATATATATATATATATATATATATAAAAGATTATTTTGCAGACCCCACTTATTTTTAAATTATATAGAACTACCTACCAAGTAGATTATACTGTAGGGGAAACCCCCTTATTTCGAAAATATTTTGACAAACCCCCATCGGCCACACCGAAGTCCTTATAATACCATTTTAAAATCAGTTTTAAACCCTAGCCACTTGTCTCTCTCTTCCTCTCCCAAATTCAAATCCCGCTTCCATATATCTCCAATCGGCGAAATTGCTTCCCGGAGTCACAACTCTCTCTTCGGTGGTCGGAATTCGATGGTTTAACAACCGTTGGATTCCTCTCGTCGAGCTCTTTCTTTTGGTGGTGATTTTATTCAGTTTGGAGCGTTGGATCTATTTCTGCAAATTTTTTTCATTCGACGACGGTGGTCTTGCAGGATGTGTATTTGGTGTTCCACCAGTCGAAATTTGACGGGTTACCCAGCGTTGGATTCCTCTCGTCGAGATCTATATTTTGATGGTAATTTCATTTATTTTTATGTTTTCAGATTTATTTCTATATTTTTTTGCATTTGTGGGCGCGCGGAACTGTGGGTGGTTATTATCGGCGGCTAGGGTTTTGGTAGGAGGCGAGGGGGTGAGGAGTCATTGTTTGTTTGATTTAAAATCTGTAGCATTTCCCAGCAATAACCTCTCTCTCTATCTCTCGATCTCTTAGTGTTTGTTGATTTGAGAGTGTTTTGATGTTCCTTCAAATTTTGTTGATTTGCACTAAAGTAATTTTCTTTTTGTTTTGATTTTGCAATTACAACTTAATGAAAGCCATCGATCCTCTCCTTGAAGGTGCCAAAAATATGGTTGAAGTTACATCTGCTTCAAGTTAATGTTTTCAACAGACTGTATATAGTAACATGTAGTTACATATGCATATACTTGTGTATTTTTTATTTGTATTTTATTGGTTTTGAGGTGATTTATAATAAAAATATTGAAATTTGTAAATTTTTGTTGGGGTTTATGAATTTCTTTTGTATAAGCCAGTATTCGTGTGTGTATGCAATTGATCGACTAAAAATATGGGGCAAAAACGAACATAACTACGAATTATTACAGGTACTACAATTACATGTAGTTATTTTCAGTACAGTAAACATTTTGATTTCACAATAAAAAGAATTAATTTTTTTTTAAATTAAAAAAAAATTTAAAATTTTAAAAATTTAAAAAAATAAAAAAAAATTAAAAATTAATATATATATATATATATATATATATATATGTCAATGGAAGAATTTGGTGGATGAGTAACAATTAATTAACAAGTATCTCTATGTATTTATTTAATTATTTATTATATTGATTTGAGGGAATTATTTTTATGGTAAATATTAACTCCTAATTCACGTATCTAATGATGTCATTTCTCCAACATTGAATTATTTGATTGGAGCTCTAATTTTATTTTATTTTTTGCAGAAAGAGAATGAATGAAGAATATAGTTTGGAGAAGCTGAGATTTATACAATTCAAACAAAATACAAATATTAATGATTGGAAAAATTGAGTTTCACAAATTATATTAATGATTGGAGAAGCTTAATGCAGCAAGTTGTGAAGAAATACATAGGTAAACAATCGAAACTTCAGTTTATACGAACAGATTACGACGAATATATACTACAGCACCAACTACGATAACTAACTTTCAGCTTCTTGATTTAAATGTTCGAACTAGATAAAGCTGAAAAACTCTAGGACCATACGATAAACAATAAAAAAAAAAAACCTCCAATTAAAATGCTTGTTGATTTACAAGAACCAATTACGATTACGATATACAACCACTAGTCGTGTAACAGACTAACTAACTTCTAAAAATTCAAGAACCCTAGCCATGGAGGGCCTGCAGGTCGGGGAATCGGCGGTGCATAACATAGCAACATTAAGAACATTCTCCACTTCTTCATGTTCGATTGTTTCTTTGTTCATTCGACTATCTATGAGCTGATCCAAACAGCCCGCCTCTTCGATCTCGTTATAATCTCCACTTCCTCGTCTTGTAGATGAGAATGAACGAATTTGCTTTACCCACTTCACAATATTTCTGTTCGCTCCAAAAAACGGGTCGTTTGGCTTTTTACCGGTAATCAACTCAAGCAGTACTACGCCGAAGCTAAATACATCGCTCTTCTCGGTCACATTTGTTGTGTAGGCACATTCTGCAACATGTTTGGATTGTAAAGGTCATATCATATACAAATATTTATGAATAAATAAATAAATAAAAATTTAAAATGAATTTAACGGTTTACCTGGTGCAATATATCCGTAACTACCTACGAAACGAGACATGGCTTGATCTCGCTCATTCTTCAGTGCCTTGGCCAAGCCGAAATCAGCTAATTTCGGCCTCAAATCCTCATCGAGTAGAATATTGCTCGACTTAAAATCCCTATGCAAAATTGGAGGCACACAGTCACTGTGTAAATAAGCGAGTCCGTGTGCCGCCCCGATTGCAATGTCGAACCGTTTGGGCCAATCGAGCACCAGCCCACCTTCCCGATTGCCATGCAAAGCGTCCCCCAAACTCCCATTCTCCATGTACTCGTAGATCAACACCTTACGTTCTTCATTTATCCCACTAAATAGCAACCGAACAACATTAATGTGCCTAATTCTTCCCAATATTCCAACCTCAGAATTGAACTCTCTCTCGGACTGTCTTAAAGAACCTCTGTTCGCCCATAGCCACTTAGCAGCCACCGTCTGCCCCGCTTCCAAATCGACTCGGTAAACTCGACCCGACCCGCCAAAGCCAATGAGATTTTCTTCTTTCAACGAGGTTAAAACTTCTTCGGGATTGAACCCGATTTTGGTGAATAGGGTAATCTTCCAAGACTGATTACTATTAGTTTCGGGATTGTTTGATTTCTTGTTTTTGGTGAGGAAGAGGCAGATGAGTAAAACCACGACAAGTACTGCCAGAGATGGTAGAATAGCCACGAGTGCCAAGTGTGAGGCTGATTTAGTGGTATGTGTTGAGCATGAAGGAAGGGGTTTCGTAGAACCGCACAAGTCCAGATTGCCGATTAGACTAGGGAGGAAGTATTTGGTGTCGAAACCCAACGGCACTTTCCCTTGAAGCCGATTGTACGATACATCAAATTCGTCGAGTTTGAGTTTTGTCAACTCCATCGGAATTTCACCACTTAACTGGTTGTTGGACAAATTGAGGATTGTTAACACCGGCAAGCTTCCCAACTCCGTCGGAATGATGCCAGAGAATCTATTTCCCGACAAATCTAATCGTGTCAACTCGTCCCAATTAGCACTAACATTTTTCGGGATTGCACCGGTGAACATGTTCTGTTGAAGGAGAAGCTCTTCCAATTTCGTCAACTTGTACATGCAAGAAGGCAGGTTACCGGAAAATTGGTTCATGCTCGAATGGAATCTTCTCAACTCCGGCAAACCACATATATCATCTGGAAACTTGCCGGAGAAATTATTGCCGGAAATGAGCAATTGTTGGAGGCCTTTTGCATTCGAAATCGATGTTGAAATAGTCCCTTGCAAACTATTATTTGTTAATTCAATGTGATAGAGCCCGGTGAAGCCCCACATCCCATCGGGAACCGGCCCGAATAATCGATTGTCATGAACTCGCACGTAGGTTAAACTCGTGCACTCTGCGTAAGAATTGGGTATTTGACCCGAAAACCTATTTCCGAAAAGTATCAGTCTTTGAAGATTTTTTCCGTAGCACAAGTTCCGGGGTAGCGGGCCTTCCAGATTGTTGTTTGCCACGTCAATTTCTTCAATCTGCGAGTGCATGCCTAGGGACTCCGGCAGAGCTCCGGTGAGATTGTTTCCGAAGAGCCTTAGCTGATAGAGTGCTGGATTTAGAGCCAAACTTGTAGGTATTTCGCCTTGCAAGAAGTTAAAGCTGAGATGAAGGGATTCCACGGGCAAAGCAGCAAGAGTTTCGGGTATTGTTCCGGTGAGATTATTCCGTGTGGCGTCGAAGCGACGCAAAAGAACAAGCTCGGAGAAAGTGTCCGGCAAAGGACCAGAGAGTTTGTTGTAATGCAATTCTATTTGTTCCACGTTTTTCAAACATCCAATGGCTTCCGGGATTTTTCCCACGAGGTTGTTATGGGATACGTCGAAGTTTTTTATGAAAACGAGATTGCCAATAGTTTCGGGGATTTTTCCCACGAGGTTATTCTGGGAGACGTCAAAGTTTTTTATAGAAACGAGATCCCCGACAGATTCTGGGATTTCTCCGGCCAGATTCGCTAATGATGCTATAAGGATCTCGAGTTTCGTGAGTCGTCCGATGCTCGGTGGCAGGGGACTTGGACGAAAAGGATTTATAGCCAGTACTAACTCGGTTAACTCCGTTAAAGTGGACAAAAACTCGGGGATCGACCCGTTTAACAAGTTGGAAGCAAGAGATAGAAAGTGAAGCCTACGTAAGTTGGCAAAACTCGCAGGGACTTCACCGATAAAATTATTGTCAGAAAGATCCAAGATTGTCAAATTAAGAAACGGCACAGAAAAGTCCGGCAAGCTACCATCGAAGTAATTGCAAGAAATGTTTAGGCTAGAAAGACGAGAACATCGAGAAAGAGAATCACTTCTAATACTTCCGCTAAGATTATTATCGGAGATATCTAGATACTCAAGAGTAGCAATTAAACAAAACTCCGCCGGAAAAGCCCCGGAAATGTTCATACTTGATAGATCTATGGCAAGTACCTTGTTGCTCCGGCGGTCACAAGAAATGCCGGTCCAATTGCATGGCGAATCGTGAGTTGACTCGAGCCAGTCGTCGGGTTTCCCGTTGAGCCTGTCGTTCTTGACACGGAGCAAGATTTCGGCATCCGTCATGTCGTAAGACTTCGTCCGAGGCGCCAAACTCATCAAGAAAACTGCACTAATTATCATCACGAGGAGATGACGATGCTTGTTGTCGTCGTACAAACGCATCTTGAGAAGAATGAAGAACATAACTGAATATATAGATTGGTATAGAATATGATGTGTAAGAAGTTTTGTAAAAATTATATGAAAAAATTCATATAAAAAAATGGTGTAAGAATGTTTTTTTTTTTTTTTAATAATGTATGAATTTTCCTATTTTCTTTCTTGTCCTTTAAATACATAGGTTGCTTCCATGGAAAGGCATATGTATGTATAACTTTTACCTCTTTCATTTCTCTCTTCCTTTTCTTCTTTTTATCCTTCTTTTCTTTTCTCTGTTTTTGTCGTTACTATATTTGATACACAAAATACAGATTAATAATTTTATAGATCATATATTATTATCATAATTTTTTAATTCATTTATGTATTGTAATTTCATAATTGTATTTATTAGGTTTATATATATGATACACAAAATACAAATTACTAATTTTATGGATCATATATTTATTATCATAAATTGTTAATTCATTTATGTATTATATATTACTAGCAATTCTCCCCATGCAATGCACGGGAATGCATAAATGAAAAAAATAAGTATATAATAATTAAATTGTATTAACAAATAAATCCACATTGATTTCTGTAAAAGAGATAGAAAAAAAAATTCTATTCGTATTAGGATTTTGTTAGTGGATTTGCAAATTTTGATTTACTATGAAAGTGAGAGAAAAAATTGGAAAATAGGAGATGAAAAAAAAATTCATAGCAAATTTGATTTGCTATGAAAGTTAATTATTAGAGAAAAAAAAAACTGGAAAATAGGAAATGAAAAAAAATAATAATAATTTATTTAATATTTTTTACAAATATATCATCAGGATTTCTTAGATTGACCTAACGTTTCTTACTTTTATATATGAGATTAATTTATTAGAATACATTATATAAACAAAACAACCGCATTTTGTATGGCGGGGCAGGACGAGTTTATAAACAACATGAACATGTTTTAGACCAAATTAAACCGAGCGGATCTGGTTCATATTAAGACCCATTCATCTTGATGGTTTTACGGTTTTAACCGATTTAACGGATTTGTGGGTCCAACTTGCATCCCTAAAAATTATTTAAAAAAAAAAAATCGGATCAAACTGGCGAAATTCTGAAATTTTGTTACATTTTTCACCTCAATTTTTACCACCGTTTTTTGTATGTTCACGTCAATCAGAAATAATTTTGAAGTCTCTTAATCGACATATTTGAGTATCGAGTTCAATTATGTATGGTATCAACATATTCGGTCAGAAGATTTATTTATTTATTTATTAAATGAAAAATTAAGTATTAAATGAAAATGTAAATTGAATTCAAATGGAGACGGGAACAAAAAAAAGTATTAAATGAAAATGTAAATCGAATTCAAATGGAGACGGGAACAAAAAAAAGGGCAGCGTTTTTTGTTATAGCAAAAAAAAGTATGAAAAATATAATGACAAGCCCTATTCATCTTTTCCTACACATTTATAAATTATAAATAATATATTAATGTGTAGGAAAAGATGATTAGTAAAGAAATTCTAAAAAAAATTAAAAAAATGTTAAATTAAATATTTAGATTCATGAATTGTGAAGATGAAGACGGGTGGAAGAGTAGGCATGAAGGAATGGAGTATGAGTCAAAAGTTATGTTAAAAACTATATAAAATTAAATATTTAGATTTAGTAATAGTGTACCTCTCTATCTAATTAGCAAAGTGCTACCACATATATAGAAATTCCATCGACTCAAAAGGAACCAGAAATTTATATATATGATCGATGATACTTTATTGCATTTATCGCCGTACCTATTGATTATAGTTTCATTAGGCCTTGTTTGCTTACTAGCTAGTCGGTGTGAGCGACTGCCTGACTGGTGTGCGGGATTGCCTGGCTGGTGTGCAGTATCGGTTGGGCCGGTGGACGGGACTGTCTTGCCCAAATTAGTCGTTCCCGACGTTTTCTAAGCAAATCTCGAAATCTGACCAAACAGTCACGACAACCACCGTGCCAAATTCAATTTCCTACGTCCTCGTAAAATTTGGATTTTTTTTTTCGGGTCCGAAATTTTTCTGACGTGCGGCACCGGCTGGGCTGGTGTGCGGGACTGCCTTGCCCAAACTAGTCGCTTCAGACGTTTTATGGCACATTTATTAACTAAGTAGTAGAGATTAGTAAAATATTTGGTTAACAAAATCCGTGTTTAGTTAAGGGCTCATTCGGTTACCTAATATTGGATTAGATTGGATTGGATTGGATCATGGTTATCGAATCGGAAAATATCGGCGTATCGTTTTCCTCCGTGTATCGTATCGTATCGTTATTGTATCGTACAATATTTAACCAACTATTAAAAATAATAAAATATATATATCTACATAATAAAAATATTATAAAAATGTAAAAATTAATATTTTAAAGTCAAACCACTCATTCCTAATTTCTAAAAAAAAATAATCTATCATAAAATAGGACAGAAGTCATAACTGCTCATAAAAATAACATCAACAAAGTTCAAATTTTGATCTCTAATTTGTAAAAAACTAATCTATCACTCATAATTTTCAAGATCAAAATGTAACTTAAATTTTTTTCATCCACCAATTTCAAACGATTGTCTTCATCCTGTTCATCAATCTCTTCAACTTCATCAACTCTAACTTTGACATTTTCCTACTTTCTCTTATCAATATAAAACTTGGCGTGTAAATTTCTTACATCTAATATATGTAAAAAAAAAACAGTAGATAATATTGAAATTCGTTTTCAGGCCCTGATAATGTGAATATTTCGTTTTCTTCTTTTTTTTTTTTTTTTTTAGTTTTTTAAATTTTTAATTTTTTTTTAATATTTTAACTAATATCGTAAATATCATATCATATCGTGATATGGCGATACGATACAATATCTCGCGATATTTAACGGTATTTATGCATAGGCGATACATATTATGAGTTATATCGTTTTGATTGGGACCGTACCGTCTCGCGATATGTATCGTGGTATCTCGCGAGTTTAACTACTATGGATTGGATTGGATTGGATTGGATTGGATTGAATGAGATTGGATTAACTTCCTACTGACTAATTAATTATTTAGTTAGTAGCATGTTCGGTTTCTTAGATTAGATCTTCTGTTAAATTCAGTTATCATATATGAATTGTCTATAAAACCACTTACTTTAAAATAATAAGATATGATTTTAAGGATATAATTGTCTTTTTCCTTTTAGTCACTCCCTATTAAATTAATCTGAGAGGGGATGCTACTAATTTAATGAAATAGTAGCATTTAATAGCGGACTTTAACTTTGATTTTAGTAGTGGGTTTGAAAAAGTATGAATCTTGTCAACCGGACGTGTTATTAGCCTCTATTATTTAGTCAGTAGAACCTTATAGCGGTAACCCAACGAGCCATAAGTCTGCTATTACACTTAAAACTCGCAATTAAATACTACTATTCGGTTAAATTAGCAGCACCCCTCTTTTCTTCTCTGAGATTAATTTTATAAGATGTGATTAAAAAGGAAAAGACAATTGTATCCTTAAAATAATACCTTAATTTTATTAATTAAAAGACTTTTTAGACATTTTACATTTAATATCAGAAATTTACAAATATAATATAAGATTGAATTTATTGAAACAAACATCTTATTACCTAGATAATTAATTAGATAATAGAATATTAATTCAATCTCACTTAATCTAAAGTAATTCGATATAAGTGAACAAACAAGGCTTAAGCTTTTGTAAAATTGAGACAACCAGCTTTAATAATTGGGGGCTAATCTCATATGCTCTGTTAATATATATTATATCATATATATGATATCATATATATTATATCCATTATTATGGGATTTGATTAGATATGTTAATATTCTATATCCATAATTTAGGAATTTGATTTGATTAGGTTTCCTTGTATAGCTTGTTATTTTGTGTATATATACCCTCACCTCTATTGAGAAGAATACACATTATTTTCATCTCAATTCTTTTCGTAACATGGCATCAGAGCCAACTTCAAACCAAATTAAAATTTTGGTTCTTCTGTCGTAACATCCACAACCGGCGTTGTGTTCATATTCTGTCACCACCGTCGTCCTATCGTGAACATCGACGGAGTGGTCCTAGAGTTATTTTCAAAAAAAAAAAAAAAAAAAAAAAAAAAAAAAAAAAAAAAAAAATCCTTTTCAATGGCTCTTTCCGATGTCACTCAACCAATTCCCACAATTCTCGATGGTAAAAATTACTCCCTGTGGATCCAAGGAATGCGTGGTTTTCTCAAAGGGCGTAAATTATGGCGGATCGTTACTGGAGATATCAATGCACCCACTAAACCAGATCCAAAAGATACTGATGCTATTGAAAAATGGCAAGGTGCTTTAGAAGATTGGGATAGTAAGAATCATCAAATCATCACTTGGTTTCGTAACACGTCTATTTCCTCAATTCATCAACAATTTGGTCGTTATGAGACAGCTAAAGACGTTTGGGATATGCTTGCCACTCGTTATGTCACTACTAGCTTATCTCATCAGTATCATCTATTCACTGATCTGCATCAACTCAAGCAAGCGACTGGTCAGTCCATCACGGAGTTTCATAATCAAATGCAAATTATCTGGGACCAACTAGCAGAATGTGAACCATAATGGGAGACCCCTAATGATGAAGAAAAATATACTATCATGCGGGACCAATTTCGTCTGATCCAGTTTCTTCAAGCTCTTCAGCCTACATACGAAGCAACTCGAGCTTCCCTTCTTAGTCGTACTCCGCTGCCTACTCTCGATCTTGCTATCCAACAACTTAATTCTGAAGAGATCCGTTTGAGTACTATGTCCGCTATCCCTACGGTGTTTGGAACTGACATTGCTGCAGCAGTTCAACCACCTCGTTCTCCCATCACTTGCTATTCGTGTCATAAGACTGGTCACATAGCATCCAAGTGCCCCAACCCAGTTCCAGATTCGACGCAATATTCATCTGTCAAATGCAACTATTGTCATGCAATTGGTCATACCATTGA